CCTTCAATTGCTGCTGTAAGCTGTTTGTGATTTCAGATATACAGGCTTGTAACATTAGTTTCTTAGTTGCGGGCATTATTTGGCTAACATAATTATTATGCAGACGTTTATGTGGCTCGTCAGTTCATCTTCCTTCCTCAAAGTGACGAGTCGATAGGTCTTTTATGTTCAAACTATGGATACTCATTCTTGATATTTGGCAACGATATTCGAGTAAAACAAATCTGATCGCAAGTCCGCTTGCTAGCAAAGGAGTTTCGGTGTTCATTCGTATCTCACGATACCTGAGCCACCTCTTTTCGCTGAATTAGGACCGCTCGTTGCTTTGTTGCTCGAGCTATAAGCTCTTAGCCAAGGCACCGTCCACTCGTTACTGGAAAAATTTGAAAACAAAGCTTTATTTCTCCGCGGTTAGGCCTACCGTCCACACTAATCCGTCACGAAAACGGACCTTTTTCGGAAACGCTCTTCAAACCGGAGGAATTTGAAAACACCGGCATTGCGTTTAAGTGTGGACGAAAAACACTTTGAAAACGGCGACGTATTGATAATCATGTGAGTAACCCTGCCATTGGTGGTTGTTGCGTTTTCAAATTTCTCCGGTGTAGTTTGGACGGAAAACATGTGATGCGTTGTCAGAGTAAAAACTCCGTTTTCAAATTTCTGCGGGGTAGCTAGTGTGGACGGGGCGTAAGTCTCGAAACCGCTTTATTAGATTTAGTAGCAAAAGTTTATGGTAATTATTAAAAGAGATGGAAAATAATTGTTTCTGCATTATGTGTTGTAGGTTGTCGGCAGTATGGATGCCCATCCTAGCCGATATTGTGCTTCTGTGCGAGTGCAAACGCATCGACAGGTACGAACAAAATAAATTGAATGTGATAGCGGCCCATCTGGCCAATAACAGCAGACGTTAAGATCCTATTAACCAATCAGATGCACGTACAATATGGCGGCCGGAGGTCCCACGTACACTCCGTCTTCATCATCGCTATTCTCTCTCAGAGCGTTTTGCAAGGTCGTTCTATTATTTCTTCTGAGTAGTTTTTCAACCTTGGGTAGCAGCTGCGGGAAGGAATTGTATTTTACAGCTTATCTGCGTGGTAACAACGCACGAGCTTGTCACAGCGCCCGGAACGCCATCATACTTCGGGCTTTCTCAAAAGCGAAGATTCCATATTATCCTAATTCTTCGGCGACTTACTCTACGAGGAGAATTATGCTTTCTGGCGACGTGGAACTAAATCCTGGCATGACTAATGGTAACGGCAATGATACAAGGACAAAAACAAGGCGAAAACAACGAAACGTTAACATCGCACACCTGAATGTTCGCTCGCTGAAGAACAAAGAACACTTCATCCTAGCGAAGAATTTGGCGAAGAAACACAAATTAGATATCTTCACCATTTCAGAGTCCTGGTAAACGACTCGGTCTCCGATTTAGAAGTTGAATTTCCTGGTTTTTCCTTGTTCAGATTAGACCAAACCTATAAGATCGGAGGAGGCGTCTGTGTATTTGTAAACAACGGCTTAAATGCGTAAGACTTGCCGACTTGTCATACATATCGAGCACTGGACTACACCAGCTATGGTTGAAGGTACAGGTCAAGAACTTCAAGTCATTTATTGTCTGTACAGCTTATCGTACCGATGATGTACCCGTCACCTGCTTTGAGACCGATTTCAGCTTCACGCTTACATCAGCCATGTCATTCAATGTTCCAATTTTTATATTGGGCGACCTCAATTGCAATTTGCTCCAACACAACGAGCCTGAACCGAAGGCACTGCTGGACTTTTGCAATTGCTTTAACCTCATACAGGTAATCAACCAACCAACAAGAATAAGTGAGCTCTCCACGAGTTTATTGGATGTGATACTAACTAACAGCAAAGATCTCATCACGGAAACGAAAGTCGTGCCTCATTCAATAAGTGACCACGATCTCATCATCGCGACACTATACCTGAAGAAACCTCGTCCCAAGCCTACTTACATCACCACGAGGAGCTTCAAGAACTATAACAAGGAAGCGTTTCTTGAGGATATTTCAAATACCCCCTGGTCAGTCATCGACATTTTTGATGATGCTGAAGACAAGTTGAACGCATTTAATGCTCTGTTCAACCAAGTCCTCGACCAACACGCGCCAGTTAAAACTGTTAAAGTGAGAACTCGCTCCTGTCCATTTATTAATGATAACATTCGCGCGTTAATGAAAACCAGAGATCATTGGCATAAACTAGCAAGGCGAACAAATGATCCTGCCATTTGGTCGGGCTATAGGAATTTTAGACGCGAAGTAAAATGGGAATTGCGACTTGCCCAAAAAACTTTTCTAGAAGATCAGATCAGGCAAAATGCAAATGACGCTAACACTATGTGGAAGACTATCCGATCATGCATACCAAAGAAATCAGCAAGCACAAAATGCTTTTGTAAAGATGACAAGACTATAGCAAACGAATTCAATCAATTCTTTACCTCAGTTGGGAAAACAACACTCGAGAAAATCAAATCACTCGCTGATGAATGCGGATACACTCCTTCACATGCATCGTTTGTTCCGATACAATACCCTCTCTCGGAACAATTCACATTTGGCGATGTCACGTATTGTGAAGTTGAAAGAGTTGTGAAGTCGCTAGCTAACAACAAAGCACCTGGCACTGACAAAATACCATCCCGTGTCACAAAGGAATCTGCTCCTGTTATCATTCCATCGATAACCTCTATTATAAACAGTTCATTCAACTGTGGTGTTTTCCCTAGTGCCTGGAAAACGGCTGAGGTATGTCCAATTCCAAAAGACGGTGATCACGAAGTAACGAGTAATAATAGACCGATTTCGTGAAAAAATTGCACTTGATCAGCTCACATCATATTTGACTGGAAAAAAAGACTTGCATCTAATCAAAGTGGAAACAAGAAGTGGCATTCAATCGAAACTTCATTAATATCCTCTACAGACGCAATCTTACGAGCGATTGACCAAACTAAAACTACAGTAGTAGTGTACCTAGACATCAGCAAGGCCTTCGATAGTATCAAGCATGAAATTTTAATAACGAAACTAAAGAACATTGGTCTCTCCTCATCTGCGTTAACATGGTTTTGTAGCTATGTGTCCCAAAGATCTCAGGTAGTTCGCATAAACTCAACGCTATCAGACGCCCTACCCGTTACTTGTGGCGTCCCTCAAGGCAGCGTACTCGGGGCTCTGCTGTTTAGTATTTATGTAAATGACCTTCCAGCAATCAGCGAAAGTTGTTCAACCGAATGCTACGTGGATGACACCCAAACTTCTTTTGTCCTTCAAAGTTGGTGACGCTGACGAAGCAAAGGACACTATCCAATAGGATTTACATCTAATTCGTAACTGGTGTTTTGAGAAGTTCCCTCTTCGAAAATGTAGCACTTTTAGTTTTAACTCCAATTCAAAGCAAATAACCAAATAACTTTCCATGGAAATATTGGAACAGAAAATCTATAACACGAATGTGTCCACTGACGTTTGGCACCAAAAGAGGAGACAGAGATTATTTTTTTGTAATGCACACCTGTAGCTGATGTCGCTGAAGTTTGTCATCGTTTCACCTACTAACTTCCATTTTGAATTTACATCGAGTTCCTTTATTCAACATTAATTCATGTAACTATATGAACCTCAAAATTCAAATGTCTTTCGCATTATATTAAAGAGAACTATTCAGCCATATGGGTTAGTTATAAGAACAGTTTCAAATCTATTCCGCTTAATATATATTTTTAGGAAATCATTGCCGAGTTAGCCGCCATGGTACGGGAGCTGTTGATTCAGTTTTATCGCTCGACGAGACACAAACCAGTGCGGATTATTTTTTATCGAGATGGAGTGAGTGAAGGGCAGTTTAGACAGGTAAGAGAGAAGGACAGCTCAGAAGATAATACTCTACAGTGAAAGAGAAAACAGATTTCTCGTAACGTTATTGCTTCTTTCCCTTCTCGAGAGGTGTCCAAACTTTGATCCCCAAAGTTCGAATTTCATACTGAATAACTGATGCTTTAGGGCCTCCCCAGGCTAGACACTTAGTTGTCTACAACTAAATGTTATCGGCAACTAATTGTGTCCGATGCGAACATTCCACACATTGAAGTGTTAGTTGTTGCTAGCTAACTCAGTCTAGCGAGAGCTTGGGAACTAACGTTCACTGCGCATGCTCACAACACAAAACGCATGCTCAAATGTGTGTTATGTTTCAATAGTTGTCGACAACTAAACCAATGATTCCCACACAGGGGAAAAACGGTCGAAACATAGTTGTCGATAGCTAATGTTTGTCAACAACTAAAGCAGTTTCCCTTTTCGAAAAGGGAAAGTGCTTAGTAAGCTCTCGACAACTACAAATTTAGCATTTAGTTGTCGACAGTTCATCTCACAGACTACGTTTTTTAGTTGTCGATAACAGATAGTCGTTGACAATTAAATGCTAGTCTGTGGAGGCCCTTATTAGCTGACTAGGAAGTCTAAGTAACTACGCGGAGGACAACGTCGATTAAAAACTGAATTTCTATTTTATCTTCGAATCGCAAACTGAATATGGAACACAGCGTAAAATGCGAAATATCAATTTCAAAAATTATCTGTCGTGGTTAACGTTCTCCAGAAAACTCAGAATTTGTTTATTTCACGTTGTTGTTTTGCAGAGGACGGCAACGAAATGTACCAAGAATTTAACGCACGTGTACAGCCATTGTATTGCTCATTTAACATTTTATTTAGCGATGTTGTCGTTGTCGTTGTGGAGTTCTTAAATTCCCTACTGTGTGGGACGTGCGGTGGCCTCATGGTTAGTGCGCTCGTCTCCGGATCTAGTGTTCCGGGTTCAAGCCCTGGCCGAGGTCCTTGCGTTCTTCTTAGGCACGACACTTTACACTCACAGTGCCTCTCTCCACCCAGGTGGATAAATGAGTACCGTCGAATTTAATGCTGGGGGGTAAACCTGCGATGGACTAGCATCCCATCCAGGGGGGAGCAGAAATACTCCTAGTCGCCTCATGCTACGAACCGGGATACGCCTGGCCCGATGGCCGACCCAGA